TATTAAAATCAAATCATTTTGCCCCGATAAAATATTTTTCACAGATGAATATTGCATGAATAATTGCATGTATGCAAAATACTAAGCAAATAATATTTGCAGAGAAAATTAATAAAATAACATGGTCACAATTGGAATTGAAAAAAGTGATTATCTACTGTAATGTTTTGAGTTCTATCGTGCACAGAATATAAAATAGATCAAATATTTCATTCGTATATTCTAAATTAGTTGTTTATATTGTTTAAATGTATGTTTAGAGGATATGGAGATTTAATTTTAGCTTTCTGCTTACCAAATCATCAGTTTTGGGTTTGAAACACCTGGTTAAAAACTTGTACAAAGATTCTCTTAGAAATGCAATCAAACACGTTTGCAATACCTTTCGTTATGACACTTATTATTCATAACATATGGAAATCGGTTTGTGAAGTTTATATACATGCCATACATGTCGAAATAAGGAAATAATAGTGCTTAAAGAATGTCAATAAACAAATGAGATATATGCAAAATCGTTAACTGTCCAAGTGGAGATAGACTCAGTTAAGTTTTGTTGGATACATACAGGGTAGGATAAGTGTCACAAAGATGTTTTGAAACCTAATGTTAGTATGCTTGTCTATATAAGCTAGGTATTAATTAATAAATTTATAAAATAATTTAATATTAAGCAAATTTTGTTTTAAAGATTGTTGTCAGTATTTTTTTGTATGGTACATGTGAAATAATAGTAGACGAATAAGTATACCTACGTAAATCTGGAGAGTAAAAGAGCCATAGTTGTATATATATCTTGATTCTTAATGTTATTGATTCAGATGTAAAAATAGATATTTTCCTATATGAATAAATTTATATTCAGATGATGTTCTTATTTCTGGAGACTAAAAACTTGCAAAGTCTCACCCCGAACTTCTTGCATCGTTCGTTAGTTTGTCTTACAAGCTCTGGATATGCATATGGATATTTACATACTAGTATTTGAAATCATATATATATATATATATATATATATATATATATATATATATATGTATGTATATATACAATTATTTCTGAGTTACGTTGAGTCCAATATAACCTTTACTACTATGACTTTTCATTCTTGACATTTGTGGCCGATTGCCTATGAGAATGCGTACTTGTTGAGCGATTGCTGTTTTTCCGAGTGAATAGCAAAACTTGTACGACCAAACCCATCACGTTCTAAAGGCATATGAAGTAAATTAAAATTTACTACTCGGAATAAATACAACATGAAAGTGAAATCCGATAACTGTTGCAAGGAAATGTTTAGAAGACAGAAATGCATTGAATTTGTAGATGAAATATGTGGACTGTTAATATTAGTAATTTTTGTATACAATTTTAATAAAGACTCAGGTTAAATTTTATTAAATAGGATAGAGCGGGACACAAAGGTCAAATATGACTCTCAGGAATTATACAGATATTATTATAATATTATTATTATTTGCCGATTTTGTGTTGCCCTTACATCACGCTAATTCATATGTGATAAAATGTAAATGTTATAATCTATTCCCTATATGGTCTATCTCGTTGACTTCAGCAAACGCAAATTCAAGGGTTGGTTTTATCAAGCGGTACGAAATTCACTTTTGGATTCTAGAATTACAGTTTTAGCTCGAGGCTAGTTTGCACACTGGAAATTCTACTAAATGTTATCATTTTGCTTGTGTGAAATCGATACATGAACATACCTATATCTTCACCTCGAGGCTCTGATAGAAGTTCAAGTGCTTTTATCTCCGACCTGGCCAATTTCATGTCGGCCACATTACCATAGAAAATTGATGGAAACAAAACAATTTTCGAAAATCGCCGCGGCATCGGAGGAATAAACGATATCAAACAGCGAACAACAAACAAGAGATTAGACTCCGTTACACAAATCATAGGTTCCCAGTGCACATTGCACAGACACCGGACAGGATCGCATCGAAAAATAAGTTAATAAATATATTTTGTTGATTTATTGTGTCATGAAAATAAGGTGACATTATGATAACTAGTAGTCTGCTAGAGGCAGGTTCATGATATGAGTGCACCACAAATCAATTATTTCCTTTTCCTCCCTTGTTTATTATTCTCATTGTCGTTTTATTTCCATTATAAACTTTTCTATACATTTTCATGCATTTTTCTTTCCAAACTTCTGTTTCCATATTTCTGGGACCTGTGCTTCGGCTTTCAGTTCCCTGTGTTTTCTCTTTTCGCGTATGTCATCAACCATTTGCATTCTTCTCCTCCCAAATCTTCTATTTTATCTTCGACGACGTCATGTAAAAGGCACACTTTTTGCAAAATGGATCCAATCCAGTTTCCTTTCCCAGTAGAGTGTGTGTTCTTTGAGCTATGTTTGCTAACTCACAATCTGGTTGTGGACAACCCAGTGGTTATTCACTCTACTTTAGTATTACAATGTACATCATGTTTATGATATTACGTATAAATTTTTTTGTGCTAGAAATGTTATTCAGGGTTCAAAGTTTAAATGAACACAATTTGTAAAAAATAACCAGAATAACCGAAAAATGATCATAATTTCGCCAAAGTTTTAGGTTGCACTTATATAATTTCTAAACAACATTAGAAAAAAATATTTTCTAAATTTTTTCAGTATTTTTAAGGTCAATACTATCAACCTGTTCGGGCTTGACGTCAAGCTCCAAGCCACCCTGTATATATGAAATAAAATATTAAATTTTTTGAATCAAATGTGTGTGTTTAAATTTGCTAACTTAATAAATCATTTCTATGATAAATAATATAATTTTAAAATCGTCTCCTCGTGTTATCAAAATAGTACCCTGATATCAGAAACAACTTGAGGGCACCGAGGAACATAGAAAATAGCGAACGAACGTGTCACATGGACGCTATGTTCGTATAAGCAATAAGCTAACGGTACAACCTGCACGAAGCTAATACGACTTTGACGCCGTGAACTCTGTAGAATCCCAACCTCTTTAACATATATGCATTTGATGGAAATCAATAAAAAATAATATTATTGATTTCAATAGAGGAACATACGTATACCGAGAATGTTATACTTGAGAAATGTATGAGTAATAAACTTGAAAGCTTTGGGACTGATGAATCATAATTTGAAGAATACTCAGTAAAATGTATATTATTTGTTAGAAAGTTGCCAATTTATAAGAAATCAGTGTAATTAATGGCTTCAAATACTAAGAATAATAAATTCTTATTATTAACTTCCCATAGGGTAGGTTATAGTAATCGCAAAAAAATCTAAATTATTTTTTTATATATCTTCTACCTTCTGCATCTTAAGAAAAATGGATGTACGTGTATATGTGAGGATACAAATTTGTGTAGACGTTTTAGGGAGCATGGATCGACCGAAGTGATTTAGAATCAGGGACTACGTTTAGCGCACGTTCTTCACCCTTCACGCCACGGCTTGCTCATTAGAAAGATGGGACTTCCTTAATAATTTGGTATACAATTTTGGCTATTCAGACATTTATATTTAAAAATATAAGCATTTGATAATTGTATAGAGTAAATAGTATCTCGAAAATAGCACTTTTGAAAATTGCGACACCACTTCCAATAAAAACTAAAAAAAAAAATAAAAATACATTTCAGCTTTACTTCTAGCTTCTCCATCTTTAACGTTTTTCATTATTAATGAGCTAAACTCATTGATGCCTAACCTACCGCTACTTATACTGCTAATTTTTTTCCTCGGTTTAGTATCCAGTAAAGGTATATTTATCGCATCTAAATGTCATAGGTAGATGATTCTCACGAAACTTGTTTCCCGCCGAGATGCAAATTGAACGTCGGTTTAAATTCAGTATGCAAGGAGTTGATCATATTAACGCGGCCATGACTTCGTCTATTATATTAGAGTCAGGTCTTTGATATTTGAGATATTGATAGATAGAAACGAGTTATTGTTAAATGTATTGTTATGCACTAGGTTTGACAAGATAGAAAAGATTTATTAGCAAAAATGAATATTTTAGAATAGAATATAATACTTGTTTTGTGAAGTGCAATTCATACTTTGCAAGAATTTAATTCGTACTTTACATGTATTTTTATATATTTAAACTTATAACATGATATTCATTAGCAACATACTAATAATAAATTTCTATTAATGCATTTTAAGTAATATAATTTACTATTTATGATATATTATTTTGTACTATTTTATTTCTTTAACAAATTTGGGTTATTAAAGTTTATGAAATTTTACTAAACAGAAAATAATTGATATTAGTGGAAATGAGAAATGATCATTTTTGAAATAAAATAAGTAAGTCTATTATTTTTTGACTAATTTGCTAAATTTTATTATAAATTTGCAGATATCAAGATAGTTGATCTAAGTTACTCAAAAGAATCTTGGAAAGATTGAATCGCCCTGGTTTCTACTACTATGTCTTTTATACTTGGGATTATAGTCGATTTTGACTTAATTTCGAAAATCTTGGTAAGTACAAAACGAAGTATAAAATATTAATTAGCTAAGAGTGGCAAAATAACATTATAACATGATTAAACATCATATTTTTATTCAGATCTGCAGATTATATTCATTCACTTTGAATTAGATTTGCCAAACAATTTTTATTTCAACAAAATTTAACAAATGGTTTGATATAGTATAGTATTAAGTACAAATTAATTTTTTTCTTAAAATTACATTTAACCGATACTGCAAAATCTATTATATTATACCAAATGAATTTGGATTAATTTTGATGGAGACTGCGGTACACCTCTATTTATTTGCAGAATTGTACAAAATCAATCTTATTAAGTTTTTTATATTTTCAGATGGTTTTCTAATTCGCGTCGCGTAAAAACTATGAACCGATATAGTTTCACATGGATTGTGACAGTTTAAGTGCGAAATTTTGTATGTTTTATTCATTCGATTTTTGTGCAGTATTTTTAGTGCGCGCTTATAACCGTTACACTTTCAGTTAGTTTTTTTGTGTAAAATTTAGTTATTCTAGTTAATATTGCAAAATCAGACAACGCCAGAGCAACCGTTGGAATAAGCTGTTGGCCTTCTTCTGGAAATCTGGAGGTAAATTGGTTTGACTTCCAAAATGCTCTTTTCTTATTCTTTTTTATAAACCTAATATTTTGTTATTTCAGGAAACAAAAGGGTAATCTAGATGTTTCAGAAGAATCGGTGCTTGTTGGCGAAGGATGAGTACCTTGAATTTTTAGCATGCTCTTCAATGGTATGGTCACACACGATATTGAAAGATTTCATACATTTATAATATCACCATAAGAAGTTTTGTTTTGAAAGTTTTTTAAATAATCAATATTTAATTTTTTAATTTTTTTTAATCTTTAAGAACTAATGTAAATGAATTATTTGGTTTATTGTATGAAATCTAATGGGCTATGGTTGAACTTACACACATTTTGATATACATCGGTTTAAATTTACATTAGAAAGAGAATTTAGATTAGTTATTGCATGAACAAAACCGTGATCATACCATACAATGTCTTAATTTATTTAACCCATGTATTTTTTCCAGTAGTATTTAAACAACAAGTGACTCTTTAAATCAGAGTGTGTAAAGTGTTCATTCAAGTCGCGTAAAATTATTAAATTATAAATAAAAAATGTGTGCTAAAATACTTCATCATAAATTCGCGTAAATATATGTGAAAAACATTTTGTGCAACCCGCGAAGAAATGCTTCCAGCTGTCATTTTTAAGGTAAGAATTAACATCTTACTTTCTTACTTGCATGAATTTTGTTGAATATTAAAAATGAATAATTTATCAAAGTTTCAGTTACGTGCAATTTTGAATCAATACTAATTTTAAAATATATTTTGCCTGTACAATATCATTTTGAAATCATATTTTATCAACTGCTATATATTCAGCTGCGGTAATTTTCAAACACAAAGATTACAAGATGCTAATTTCAAATTGAATTATATGGTACATAAATTTATCTAATAATATGCCTTCTTACAAACCAATGAATAATATTATAAGCTCATCAATTGCACATAGCAATTCCGCTAGAGTTTAAATTTTCGATTTTCTGAGGTCCAAGTAAAGGTCGTGTGATTCACGATGCAAAAGTTATTGGTTGCTTATGACATCTGTCAGGAAAGGAAATAAGTTTAATTTATATGCAATTATATTTAATGACATTTGACGTGCAATTTCTGCACATGTTTATAATATTTTACTTAATGGTTCTCAGATATTGTACAAAGTCGTTTGATATCAACCCGTGGTAGTATTTAGTTTACTATGCTCATACGATGCTAATTCTATGCATTTTAATTTATATTAAACGTAATGATGAATCTCATATACCTTCAGAACACAAAACTGGATTCTTATTTAAAAGCAGCATTTACAAGTATGCAATTAAATAAAGAATAATACCCACTTAATGAATATAAAGAATTATTTATTTAATCACTTTAGTTTTAACTCGCGGGGCGTTTTTTTACCTTCATACTTTTTTAATTATAATTACCGGGAATTTGAAATGAAGTATGTACCAGTGAAGTGTTCCATTGTTCTGTTGGATCTGAGAGCGTTGTAAAATAAAAAGATTTAGCCGTTAATGTACATCTTTTCTCGTGTGTAATTATGTATAGTAAAGTACAGATAATTAATGATTAGGAATGCCACGCGATGGAATTGAAAGACACTTCTGAGATCGTACGGTATATGCATTATATATCAAACGATAAAAATTAAATATTAATTTTATCAAGTTCAATTTTTTGTCCATTGCTTCTAGTAGGTAGATTTCACATAAAATTATTGTATGTGCCTAATTTCACCATCAAAATATTTCTTCATATTGTTGAAATAATTATACTCATAACACAAACAGATGAAATAGCTAGTCGTGATATATTACTCAGAACAATTTCGTCAAAATTAATCTGCTCTATAATTTTAATTATTTTATATACGAGGATGTCATATAAATATGTTATAACATTTGCAATCAGTCCAAAAATTACATTTTTTCGAGGGCTGCAAAATAGGCCAAAAAGTTGCGGTAAGGCTCTAAGTACTTGTTGAATGTTTTTCGTTCATAAACAGCATATGCATTTTATTGAAAATATGAGAAATTGAACTTATCAAAATTCGAATTTTCAATTAACAAAATTAACTAAATATCATAAATATAAACCTGTTGTTTTCTTGTATAACAATTGAATAATTAATTGAGAGTTTATTAGTTTTTCGCCATTTACTATTAAACTATATAATATAAAAAAATTAAAATATCTCAGTTTATTCTTAATATCTTCAATTACATTTCTCAACCTTTATCTCTTTGATCTGTCCTTTTAATTTGAACAAAATAGTTTTTAGATCTTTTATATCTCATTGTCAGTATGTTTACAAGTAAAACATATAAATCTGTAACCCGATCCTACCTAAGATCTAAGATCATCCTAGATGTTCGTTCGCAAAGAATCAGGAATAAATACCAAACAAAACGAAATAGTGTAAATTTGACATTTTCGATTTATGGAGTCATTTAATTCCAACAAACACGGTAATCCATCAACCATTACTTCGTACAAGAGTTAATGCTGTAGGTAATAGTAGGAATAGGGCAGTGTAGGGCAGTGACAAACAACTTCTTTTTATTTAGAATTTTCAAAATCTCAGAATTTTTCTGACGGTTGCCTAAAGCTTTTCTACCTTATATACTCAATATGTGTATTGTATAACAAAATTACTTTTCAGCGATATGAGACGCTCTCTACTTCAAGAAATGTTAAAAACATACAAAATAAAGATTTTAAATATACCTACTTTGGTAATTCTTTAAAAACTTTCTGATTTTTCTTTTTAGAAAAATTCACTAAAAATAAAACATTCACTGAAAATTATAAATGATGATATATTGCGTTGAGCTAATAAATTGGTGGAGTTAAGGTAGTGTTAAGTTGATTGAGATTTTGTAATATGTTTTATGCCGACGTTAAGTTTTTTGTTTATATATAAACATTGACTTTTGTTCGAGCCTCACAAATTTTATTCATTTATCTTTGTCTACCTGACATAATAAAATAATTTCCTACCCTAGATAAGGTACCAAGCTAGTTATAAGAAATTATTTTTTCTCTTTTAAAGCCTTTTTGATAATTAATTTTATCTGGTCCTTCGAGGCAATAAAGTGTCCGTGTGTAGTGATTTTTAAATTGACTTTTTAAATAAACATTATGCCGGGCGCTTTTATTTGATAAATTTATGAAATAAGATCAGGATTTACGTTTGGCTTCTTTACATTTATCAATATTCGAGTGACATTTCTCACTTTCATTTAATCGCATGGTGAATCTAGCTGCCTAAAACAATAAAACCATTTGAATCTACTTCTGAAAATTTTCATGATTATTTGAAAATCCTTTGTCAGCCACCTGTTGGCCACTCCTGCTACAGGGACGTCTTCATTGTATGTTTAACACAACCCGAGGTGTGAATTCGTATTATTAATTCCTGCGCAGATAGCAGCCAAATATGGACCAACAAACTATACACGTATTTGTCATGCATAACGCAAACAATATTGCCTTTGACGTATTGTTATGAGATGTTTGGACTGACAGCGTCTGTGAGATAATTGCGGTTATTAGCTGTGCTTTAACAAGATTCTCTCACGTGGAAATTGAATAAAACGATTTATTATAATAGCAAAAAGGACGGTTAGACGATGTTAAAAAACTGAATTTTGTATGTTTTTACTGTTAAACAAAATTCTGATATTTATATGTTTATTATTATTGACACATTGTTCAGAAACAGATTCATAGACAAAACTGTTTTTTTTACTCCTCAGACATCCCTTGACAATTTTAGTAAAAGATCAGTAGTTCATCTTTCACTTCTCTATTTTCTATTCTCATGCTTGTATTTAATGGTTCGATTTTGAATACTTCGTTCAAGATACTCTTTTCCCAAAAATGGAACCCAAATCAGTTTTATTTTTAGATTTCATATTTTTATATAGGAGATTTTTCCTCTCCCACTCTTAACTTTACATTACTTTTTGAATTGTTGCCTTGTCAGTTAGGCCTATAATATTTAAGGTGGTCGGTTTGACTATGAACTCTATCGCCATGCAAAGTTTCATCAAAATCTCAGAAGAGTAGACCTGAGATTCTTCCTTTTAGAATCATGTCTCTGAAATTTACAGAGCATGTATATTCACGCAATACATTGTTGAGCTTTGGGTTCGTTAAATATCTCATAATAAGAACACAAATATTTTGTAAAAAATTTATTAAAATATTATTTTTAACTTAGTTTAGTTATTAAAGTAATTATGAAAAACAAGAATAAAAATGTGATAAAAATATATAATAAAAGGAATGGATTATATGAATTTAGGGAACGAGCCTAAAATAAACTCGATTGTATGGAGTGACATTTATGTAATGTTTTTTGATTTTTATAAATTTGATTTACAGTTAATGTTTGTAATTTTCCGACTTCTCTTTGTAAATTGTTAAAATTTTCCATTATATAGTTTGATTCCCACGTTACAAATTTTATAAGTAAACTCAAATATATGAAACAATGTAGAACAAGTTTGAAAATACATTGAGAGAATGAACATGCTATATACGATTGAATTATACTTAAAGAAAGCAGAATGTATAAGGATATCATGAGGAGATCGATAATTGAAAGATTGTGTTAAATAATCAATTAGTCGAGTTACGAAATAAAATATTCCGGAATAAAAGGTACGATTACATATATAGGAACATCGGCGGAACTAATGAAATATTTTATACTAATATTTATCTTTAAAGCATTAGATAAAATTTATTTTAAATATGTTATGTACTCTTTTAGTATTATTTCATACATGCACTTAACTTTTGAGCCAACGATCTTCAATATAGAGGTAACCCAAGAAGTGTTAATATGTAATTGAACGCTGTGCGATAATTTGTCTAATCAAGTGAAGCATGAATTCCAAAAAAATCTCTAAATTTTTCATTATAAAACAACAAAAACATTACCGCGACATTGTTGACTCAGCTTGATCAAACAACTTGGCAAACCCGAAACGACAAGTAAACCGGAAGCCGAGGAAAATATTCCGAAAATGTTAAAGCTTGTTCCTCACGTTTAAGAAAACATCATTCCATTGTAAGAATATAATGAAACATTAGAAATTGAGTGATGAATTAAATTTTATACATGCTAAACATTTATATGTTGTTGAAATACTGCAAAAACCTGGATACTTTTGGTGCTATTTTATTTTAAAAAAATGACATGATCGGCATGAAAAACTAACATGTAGCTAGTCCTTATCGAGCTTCATCGAACGGTTTACAAATTTTTGAAATCGCTTCAGCCATTTTTGAGAAAACGTAAGCAAAGTGTTAAATTAAGGCTTATTTAAACATACACATATGCCTTTACAATTTGGGTCTCTAAACATTCAGAATGATTTAAAATGTCGAAAAAACATAAAATTAAAAAATCGAATTTCTGATGAAAACATAAACTTCCCTTTAATGTAGTAGGAATGACGTAAAGAGTTTTTATTAGAAATTCGTTCTTCTTCTAGAGGAAGCGATAAACTATATTTATATTTATGAAGTGCAGTTTTTAGTACGTTTTGTTAGTCTGCACTAAACCCATGCACCAAATTTGA